AGTGCATCGCTTCTAGTAACAAGTGCCTTACTAGTAGTAACAAGTGCCTTACTAGTAGTAACAAGAAGCTATTAGAATTAGATTAGGTAATTTTCGTCGTTTTCGTCGTTTGCCTGTTTATGTAACGCCTGGACTCCGACCCCCGATTGACCAAGGCCTTGTCTTGATCTGCGGGCCGATCGTTTCAGTGGCCTGTGGAATTTGGCCTCACCCTGAGAAGCTCTGGCGCTATGATCAAGTGATCCCTCGCATGCGTGTATTCCTGTGTGTGGTCAGGTGTGGCTTTTTGGTGGATCAGATGATTGAGCCTTTCCTTCTGCTGTTGGGCAAAAAAGGTTATAGCCCGCCTGAGGAGGTGCATACACACTTGTCAGTGCACCTGTCAATCCACTTTGATTGGGAGGCCAATGGCAAGAGACCACCTGATAGTGGGAAGAAGGAGGAGAAAGTGGAGAAACCCGAGAAAGAGAAGGGCAAAGCGAAGGACGGAAGCGACCAATTCTCCCGTTCCTCTCTTCAGGGATCCGGGGTTCATTGAGAGCTTTGTTCGAGTGACGTTTCTCCGTTTGGACGTGTTGACAACTGTTTGTACAACCGTGGCGACTCGACCATCACCGTGTCTCGGATGGAATCTTCCGTTCCGGGGGCAGCTTTCGTGTACCCTGCCACGAGTGCACCAGGTAGTGTCTGGGAGCTCCGGGCTCGTCCCCACAAGAGTATCCTAGAAGAATGTTGTGCAGCGTTCTACACGAGTGTCAAGCAAGACAGTCCATGTCGCCCAAGAGTGCCCCACAAGAGTGTTCTAGAAACATGTCACCCATCCTTGCATTCAAGTTGCATTGCATTCGTTGCGTTCGAGTTTATGGATACATTTTGTGCCTTTTGCAGGGCACTTGACACTACACAGATATTTGATTCTGCACAGGCCAAAAAGCCTGCAAAAAAGAGCAGTTCAAGTAGCACTGTTTGCTCCCTGGGTTGGTGATTGTGATTGTTTCCTTTGCGTTCCTCTTTTGAAGTGAACACTCTTTTTCGCACCCCTGTTTGAGGTCGAAATTGACTGGACCCTTGAGGCAGGGAGAGGAAGTAGCGGAAGTGGTTGCCCCGTGTTCTATACACATTGTTTTGCTTTTTTCTTTCCCTCCAACTCTGCATCTGGCTGAAAGATGCTGCTGCTCCAAAGGCCTTTGTGTCTGGAATGCCCTGCTGTTTTCCCACTGCTCTTGCTCATACTATTTCTGCTCCAAGAATGCTTCAGCAAGAACTTCAGCTTCAGAGACTTTGAGTGCTAGGAGTATGAGGAGGACCAAAGGCCAGGTGGTGCCAACCATTTGCTTCGCCTTCTCCAAGGCGCGCAGTTGTGCAAGGCCGTGTGCACAGCGCCGAAACCGACGAGTTTTGTGTACTTTGCATCATGAGTTCTGACCAACCTATGGTAATACGAGTAATAGCAATGGCCTCCATGAGTTCTGACATCCAAATTTGAAGCACCACATTGTTCCTAGTAGCGAACATTGTTACTATTAGTAAGGCACTTGTTACTACTAGTAAGGCACTTGTTACTAGTAGCTTCTGGTTACTACTAGTAAGGCACTTGTTCCTAATGAGCTCCACATTCGCCAATCGTGCTTGCCGCTTTCACTTGTAGCCACACTAGAGCCGTCAGCCGTGGAGGTGCTCAGGATCGAACTAGGCCCCGCCCAAGAAGCACCCTCATGAGTTCAAGCGTTGAAACTAGTAGGCTGTAGGCTTCTTGTTACTAGCAATGGCCTCCACCCTAGTAGTAATGGCCTCCAGCCTAGTAGTGATGGCCTCAATTGTGATTTATTTTCTTTTTAGCCCGCCCTTACTTAATTGAGTGAGGGCAAACTTGTTCAGTCCTAGATACTGGACGCTGCTAGCATGGACGCAGAATTGCTCACGCTTCTTCAAGAAGCACTCGCACTAATGATTTGGTTCCTAGATTTTTAGGGACACTTGAGTTTACGCCGACGTTATTGACACTTTCTTATCAGTACGTGCCATTTCAGCTTCATATCAGTCTGAGTTTGGGCAGGCTATGCCTACAAATCCATCCCTGAGGAGAATCTGGCACGGCTCTCAGATGAGCCAGGTCTTTCCATTTAGGGCGGAACGGCAAGGGTCTTTTTTCAGGTTCCCTGAGGCTTGACCATCTTGGTACGTAAAGGACTGAAGGTAAAAGAAGGTCTTCAAAGGAAACGAATGAAATATATCGAAATACATCAAAGAAAGAAAGAAACTAGTCTGAGTCTGGTAGCTTCCTTGCTACTTTCTAGCTCTTACTCGACAAACCGCCGTTGATATTTCTGAAAAGAACAACAACATACATAGAAAACAGACGCACACACGCAAACATCAAATTCAGAAAGTCACGTCATGACACAACGACACAGCCTTTAACGTGCTTTGTTCTTGAGGCCAACTACCGTGCAATTCGAACGATGCTGGTGCCTTGCTTCAAGTATATTGAATTGCACACGGAATGCAAATTCAGCTATATACTAGTAACAAGAAGCTACTAGGGGCTCCTGACCTCGCTACTAGGAGCGTTCGGACGCTACTAGTAACAAGAAGCCACGGAAGGCATGAATTGCACATGGAGGCATGATACACCGATTCTTTTCTGAGACTCACGACATGCCGACCACCCTGTTAAGTTTTCCTAAACATCTAATTCTAATAGCTTCTTGTTACTACTAGTAAGGCACCTGTTACTACTAGCGTGGCACTTGTTACTAACCAGTGTCATCATTGCTGTGTCTTTTTTTGGTGGCGAGCCGAGGCACATCGACAGGTCCCATCTGAAAACCCAACCCCGATGCACACACACGAGCAAAAGACATCACTGATCTGGCAAGTTCATTGAAGGAAGCCCTCCCTTGCCCCCCAACTCAGCAACTTCAGCTTCGTTTGAATGCCCAATGCGCCATAGGGCCGGCTGAGATTACCACATTTCCAAGCTTGTACTGCCAGCCGTCTTCAGCCGTGCACCACTCTAACTCTTGACTGTCCGGTTTGCCTTTTGTCCCGGAGGTCTTTACTCAAAAAGAGAGTGGCTCACTCTGGCCTAATAGCAATGGCCTCCAACCTAGTAGCGTTTGTAAATTGGAAGCTTTATTGTTCCTAGTAGTAATGCCAGGAGCCCCTAGTAAGCGTCCTTGCTCCTACCAGCGATGCCTCCTGGCGTGTAGTAACAAGTACATCGCTAGTAGTAACAAGTGCCTTACTAGTAGTAACAAGAAGCTAG